CTGTCCTACAAATGTCTGCTGAGACCTGGGCAACCAACTATTGGATACACACTATAAGTAACCCTTCAACTGCCATCACACATTGCACCTGACCTCTTTGGCCACTCCCACAAGTGGTGAGCCCATGGGATGAGGGACCCACGTTTCCTCTTTGGGCTGTGCCTGACCGGGCTCCATGAGTGAAAGCCCCATCTCCAGGCCTGGCTCCAGAAGGGGGCCCCGGTGACCCGCGTCCTGGCGATGGAACACTGTATTCATATATGGTACTCATCTCACTCATTAGGGGTCTAAGGGGTGCAAATTGTCTGATTCCTCCCATAGGACCTGTTTGCTATGGGTGACCCTACCTAACAGAGGCATAAAGCCACAGAAAACTTTGCTCCTCAGATCACTGGGACACTCAAACCTGTCGCATCCTCTCCATCTTCATCATCCACTCAGCTCTCCACTTACAAATCCTCAGCCTGGAACTTCCTTTCCCATCATCCCCCTCTCACCGCATTTACCCCTGTGTCATCACCATCATTGATAAAAGGAGGAAGTACAAGCCACAGACTCACTCAGTCATCGATTCAAGAATCAATGTCAGAGATCCGAGCTACCCAGCTCATCCTTCTAGCTTTCCAGCTGTTTATTCGAGCCTCCCAGCTCTTCAGGCATTTTGCCTCAGCTCAAAGTAAGTCAATCCCTTACTCTTCCGAACAATGCCGCATTCCCGTTCACACTTGGGTTTGGTGCCGTTGCTCCTAGATTAACTGCGTGGCAGCAGCCCCCAACACTCATTCTTCCGCGTCTGGGTTCTCCAACCACGCTACACTCTCACACTACCTATGTCAGCGGTGTGAGAGACCCCGATCGTTACAGGATGACTGAGTCTACCATAGACCCAGCAGAATTTGAGCGCCTCCGCGCCAAGGTTACACACCTCCGCGCAGTAGTGGACCGGCAAAACACCAAGATGGAGGCCATGTTGGCCAGGCTTATGCAATTCTCAGCCTTTGTCACCGTGCTTCAGAGAGAGGGGCCCAGGGCCCATGAGGAACCAAAGTTTGGTCTTCCCGATCGCTGGAACAGTGAGAAAGGAAGCTCCGATGGACTCCTGGCTACCCTTGACATGCTGTTCGTGTGTCAGCCCACCAAATATGCCACTGCCCGGGACCGAGTCGCCCTCCTTACATCCCTGTTGTCTGGACGAGCCCTGGAGTGGGCCGCAGCCCTGTATAACAACAAGGCCAGGATTATTTGGCTTTTGTGGGGGAGCTGCACAAAACCTTTGTCCCACCGAGCAGTGACATGGGAGCGGAGACCCGTCTCCTCAGATTGCGGCAAGGAGATCAACACGTCTGCAGCTTTGTCTTGGAGTTTCGCACCTTGGACGCCAAGGTCCCCTGGGGTGACTCTGCCTTAAGAATGGTGTTCACCGAAGGACTGGTAGTGGTTCCCTTATTTAAAAAGGGGGGCTGCAGGGTATGTTCCAACTACAGGGGGATCACACTCCTGAGCCTTTCTGATAAGGTCTATTCAGGGGTTCTGGAGAGGAGGGTCCAGTGGATTGTGAACCTCAGATTCTGGAGGAGCAATGTGGTTGTCGTCCTGGCGGTGGAACATTGGACCAGCTCTATACCCTTAGGTGGATCCTGGAGGGTGTGTGGGAATTTGCCCAACCAGTCTACATGTATTTTGTGGATTTGGAGAAGGTGTTTGACCGCGTTCCTCCGGGGGCCCTGTGGGGGGTACTCTGGGAGTATGGGGTACCAGGCCCTCTGATACGGGCTGTTAGGTCCCTGTATGACCGGTGTCAGAGCTTGCCGGTAGTAAGTCGAGCTCATTTACGGTGAGAGTTGGACTCTGCCAAGGCTGCCCTTTGTCACCGATTCTGTTCTTAACTTTTATGGACAGGATTTCTAGGCACAGCCAAGGTGTTGGGGGCATCCGTTTTGGTGGCCTGAGTATCAGTTCTCTGCTTTTTGCAGATGATGTGGTAATGTTGGCTTCATCAGAACGTGATCTCCAGCTTTCGCTGGAGCGGTTCGCAGCTGAGTGTGAAGCAGCTGGCATGAGAATCAGCTCCTCTAAATCTGAGACCATGGTCTTGATTCGGAAAAGGGTAGAATGCCTTCTCCGGGTCAGAGATGAGGTCCTGCCCCAAGTGGAGGAGTTTAAGTATCTCGGGGTTTTGTTAACGAGTGAGGGAAAACTGGAGCATGAGATCGATAGACAGATTGGTGCTGCATCTGCAGTGATGCGGACGTTGTACCGGTCAGTCGTGGTGAAGATAGAGCTGAGTCAGAAGGCGAAGCTCTCGATTTACCGGTCGATCTACGTTCCTACCCTCACCTATGGTCATGAGCTTTGGGTAGTGACAGAAAGAACGAGATTGCGGATACAAGAGGCCGAAATTAGTTTTCTTCGCAGAGTGGCTGGGCTCTTCCTTAGAGATAGGGTGAGAAGCTCGGCTATCAAGGAGGGGCTCGGAGTAGATTCGCTGCTTCTCCGCATCAAGAGGAGCCAGTTGAGGTGACTCGGGCATCTGGTCAGGATGCCTCCTGGACGCTTCCCTGGTAAGGTTTTCTTGGCACGTCCACTTGGGAGGAGGCCTAAACTTAGACCCAGGAAACGCTGGAGGGACTATGTCTCTCACATGGCCAGGGAACACCTTGGGATTTCCCCAGAGGAGCTGGCCCAAGTAGCTGGGGAGAGGGAAGTCTGGGCCTCTCGACTTATTTTTATGTTTATGTGCTTAGCAGACACTTTTACCCAAAGCGACTTACATTTTTTTAACCTATAGGGCATGTTGTGATCTGTGGGGGAAACCGGAGTACCCGGAGAAAACCCACGCATGCATGGGGAGAACACGCAACTCCACGCAGAAAGGCCGCAGCCGAGTTTCGAACCTGCAACCTTCGTGTTGCGAGGCAACAGTGCTAACCATGCAGCAGGATCTTCTACTCACCCAGACCTGACTCACCTCCCCCCTGCTTCCTTGCCGACTTAGGCTACTGCCCCCAAGACTCGACTCCGGATAAGCAGATGAAAATGGATAGATGGATGGGTGGTTTATTAATCAGTTACGTCAATTTGTTTTTAACCAGAAATAACCTTGCTATTTAGCAGGAAACACATCAGTATTGAGCTTTGTATACATTGTGTCATAGCTGACAAATAAAGTATTTAATAACTGTATTAGTCATTTATAAGAGTAGGATTATTCTGGTTCATAAAGTGTCCTTCAAATAAAACAAACTTTTACACACACCTCCACACTAGCAGACTCCTACGACTACTCCGACCTGTGGGAACTTAAGAAGGGGAAACTGCTCAGTCAATCACCTGACCTGAACACCTGAACAGCATAAAATTAATCTCCGAGAACAAACTACCAGAACCTTGGTGTTGTTTGTGACCATTATGCCATTCAAATCACACGTTAAACAGGTTTGTCGGATTTCTTTCTTCCACCTCCGGAATATTGCTAAGATTAGAAGCACCCTTTCCAGGAGTGATGCTGAAAAACTAGTTCATGCATTTATTCCCTAAAGACTGGATTACTGTAATTCATTACTCTCAGGAAGTCCACAGAATGTAGTTAAAAGTCTTCAGCTTGTCCAAAATGCTGCAGCTAGAATTCTGATGAGAATTAAAATGAGAGATCATATCTCTCCTGTCTTAGCTTCCCTACATTGGCTGTCTGTTAAATTCAGAATAGACTTTAAGATCCTCCTTCTCACGTATAAAGCTCTTAATAATCAAACTCCATCATACATCAGAGATCTGATTGTTCCATATTTTCCTAACAGAGCACTTCTCTCTCAGACTGCAGGTTTACTGGTGGTTCCTAGAATATCTAAAAATAGAATGGGAGGCAGATCTTTTAGCTATCAGGCTCCTCACTTGTGGATCCAGCTCCAAGCTTTAGTTCTTGAGGCAGACACCTTGTCTACTTTTACGACTAGGCTTAAAACATTTTTATTTGACAGGGCCTATGGTTAACATCTGATGTTAGCCTAGATCTGGACAAGTGGGGAGTAGAGGGAGGTGGAGTGTACAGTCGGTAAAGACATCTCTCCCTTGCCCTCACTCCGACATGCCTCCATCTAAAAAGGCTAGGTTATCCAGAGTTATCTCTGTAGTTATGCTGCTATAGGCTTAGACTGCTGGAGGACACACTGACCACTTTTCACACTCGACTACTTTTTTCTGCACTTGTCTCTAATTGCATTATTTCCTGCTATTTCAGCTGTTAACTTTCAACTGTTTTTCTCCCCAGAAGAAGCTACAATGGTGTTCTGCTGAGCTATGATGGCCTCATGGAGGGGGCCATCGGTTAGCACACTGCTGCTAGCCACTTAAACATTCTCTCTCTCCTGATAATAACATTTTACTTCCTTTGTCAGTGAATGTGCTACTACTAGTTCACCTGTTGAATTAATTATAGATTCACTAGGATGAATACAATAAAGTGTATCTCTCACCAAATAGAATATTTACTATGAAATCACAATGTAACCATAGACACATTTCTTGGTATATATGGTGTGTGTGTGTGTGTGTGTGTGTGTGTGTGTGGGGGGGGGGGGGGGGGGGGGGTCTGCTCTGTCTCCTCGATCCCCGGTGAGTCATGGTGGATGGCTGCTTATACTGAGCCAGGATTCTCTGGATGTTTCATCCAGATGTGTGTCATCCAGGTGCAGGTAGCTCTGAAGAGTTAGTGGATGCAGTGCAAAACCCAATGGAGTCAGAGAAGGACCACTGCTCGATGCTCTACACGTCATACACGGCCACCTCCATCACGCGGTGCCCAGTCTCTCCTGGTCGTTTACCGACACGTGGCCTCTGATTGCCTGTTGAGTGACCCCCCACCCCCATTTCCACTGCAATAAGAGTAAATCTGGAAGGTGTGCCACAGAGAGGTGAAACCTGCAATTACATGCTGTCTGCAGAACATTACCTCTGTGTGAAGCTCTGCACACACATTAGTTTTGACCAAATATGCACACACACACACACACACACACACACACACACACACACACACACACACACACACACACACACACACACACACGCACGCACGCACGCACGCACACACACACACACACACAAGCACATGTTAATGACGTTTGTCAGTAAGGGTCCTAATTAGAGCTTTACTAATATCACCCATCTATGTAGTAAACTCATATTCTTCCTACCAGGGTCACGGGGTCTAAATCAGAGTTTTGGTCAACATGGTGTGACCTTAGGAAGGTCCTGATCCATCCATAAGTCCAGACATCCTGCAAGTACACAAAGAGCCCCAGTCTAAAGGACAGCCAGGGTTCTTAAGCAGAGACGGGACAGGACTGTGGTTGGGAGACAGCTGAATGTGTTACGTGTTTATTATGCCTCCTAGTCGACATTATAGCTGTGAAATCTGAATGATATGATTCAGAAGAATGCTCAGATGAAGAGCAAACAGCAGTTAGAGAGATCTGAAAGTTAATGACTGTTTAGTTTCAGCAGCTTCCAACCAGCCTCATCCTCAGATGAACCCAGACTCTCATCAGCTGGCCCAGAGTCGACATCAGAGGAAACCTGCTGCCACGTCGTCTCTCCACTTTCTCTCGTCCGTCTCATCCCTCTCTGACTCCTCCTCATTCCCTCGCTCTACATTTCTGTTTTTCTTTTCTCTTTTCTTTTATATCTGCAGGCCTTCCATTTTCTCAGTCTACTACACTTGTCTCTCACTCCCTCTGTCCTTGGCAGAACCCTGGTTCGGGCCATGTGATGTGGTTGCAGCAGTGAGGAAGTGAAGGAAGGCTCAATCCGGTCCAGTTGCACCCTAAATGCCACCTTGTCAACTACATGAAGCAGTTATCAGATCCCAGGGCTGCTTCAGAGCTGAACTATGACTCTTCACACACGTCAGTAAAGAATAATTTGGAAAAACTTTACCTTGTTAATCTTCACAATTTTCCTGTATAAATCGTTGGCTGTTACAATGAAACATTTCAGTTAAATATATCGTATAGGAGACACAGTGATGTTTGAGAAGTGAAACAAAGTTTATGGGATTTACAGAAAGAGTGCAATAATTGTTTAAACTAAATTAAGCAGGTGCATAAATTTGGGCACCACAAAAAATGAATGAATTCAATATTTAGCAGATCCTCCTTTAGCAGAAATAACAGCCTCTAAACTCTTCCTGTAGCTTCCAATGAGAGTCTGGATTCTGGTTGAAGGTATTTTGGACCATTCTCCTTTACTAAACATCTCTAGTTCATTCAGGTCTGATGCTTCTGAGCATGGACAGCTCTCTCTAACTCACACCACAGATGTTCAATAACATTCAGGTCTGGTGCTGAGAAGAACATTCCAGAACGTTCTACTTGTTCCTCTGCATGAACGCCTTAGTAGATGCTGAGCAGTGTTTAGGGTCATTGTCTTGTAGAAAGATCCAGCCCCGGTGCCGCTTCAGCTTTGTCACTGATTCCTGGACATTGGTCTCCAGAATCTGCTGATATTGAGTGGAATCCATGCGTCCCTCAACTTTAACAAGATTCCCAGTCCCTGCACTGGCCACACAGCCCACAGCATGATGGAACCACCTCCATGTTTTACTGTAGGTAGCAGGTGTTTTTCTTGGAATGCTGTTCTTACTCCTCCATGCATAACGCCCCTTGTTCTGCCCAAATATCTCAGTTTAGTTTCATCAGTCCACAGCACCTTATTCCAGAATGAAGCTGGCTTGTCCAGAAGTGCTTTAGCGTACCTCAAGCAGCTCTGTTGGTGCTGTGGGTGGAGAAAAGGCTTCCTCTGCATCACTCTCACATGCAGCATCTCCTTGTGTAAAGTGCACCGAATAGTTGACCGTTGCAGAGTGACTCCATCTGCAGCAAGATGATGTTGTAGGTCTTTGGTGCTGGTCTGTGGGTGACTGACCGTTCTCACCATTCTTCACTTCTGTTTATCTGAGATGTTTCTTGGTCTGCCACTTGGAGCCTTAACATGAACTGTGCCTGTGATCTTCCATTTACTCAATATGTTCCTAACTGTGGAAACAGACAGCTGAAACCTCTGAGAAAGCGTTCTGGATCCTTCCCCGAAACCATGATGGTGTCAGGTCTTTGTTTTCAGCTCATGTGAGAGTTGTTCCGAGACCCCATGTTGCTTCTCTTCAGAGAATGTTCACAGAGGAGGGAAACTTACAATTGGCCCCCTTAAACACTCTTTCTCATAATTGGAATCACCTGTGTATGGAGGTCAAGGGTTACTGACCTTACCAAACCAATTGTGAGTTCCAGTAATTAGGACTAAAGGTTTTGGAATCAATAAAATGACAACAGTGTCCAAATGTTTGCACCTGCCTAATGCTGTTTCAATATAATGTATTTAAATGATTTTTTTTCTTAACAACCAACAATTAATAAAGGAAAATCATGAAGATTACCAAGGCTGTTCGAACTTTTGTATCCCAATGAATGTACAACTTAATCTGAATACGGGGGTGGAGCTTATTACACTCAGCAAACACAACGTTAAATATAAAATCTATTGTTACACATACATATAATTATTTATACTTCGGTTTCACCAATTTGAATAATTATGGTACATTTTTGAATTAAAAACAATAACAACATTTGTTTAAAAGCTTTTACTTTGTTCTGTGTGACCTGGATGGACCAGTGCTGGCCCTAGACCCACTGTTTTACTATTAATATCTTCTTTTTTATGTGGCTTTTCTTGCTGCACACACACACACACACACACACACACACACACACACACACACACACACACACACACACACACACACACGCACACACACACACGCACATGCACGCGCACGCGCGTGCGCACACACACACACACACACACACACACACACACACAGATGGAGAAATGTGGAGATCCTTAGCTCCTCCCACGATCCAGTCCAGAACTTTGGCTGAAAAATGGACTCAACATTTTTTCTTGAAATAAATGCAGAGAAAACCAAACCATGACAAACACAGTTTCATCAAGTACTTCTGAACAGAAAACACCTTTGAGAAGTCGCTTTTTAACACAGTTCTGACGTGTATCGTTTATCTCTTTAAAAACAATTCATGATTTTCTTCTTCTTTTGTTTAAACAAAACAAACACCTCTCACTGAAAAACACTTTCCTGTTCTGGACCAGAAGGAAAGTTCTCACTGTTCCTTCATGCATGAGGCAGCAGCATCCTCTTGTGGTTGAAAGGCTCAATGCTGACTCCCAGAGGCAGGAACTTCTCAGAGTTCTGATCTCCCTGTATCACATCCTGCTATTTATGTTGTTTATTCAGTAATTCATATACCAGCAATGCAACAACACACGAAAACCCTTTATTTTGGGGAAAACTTAACGTTGCAGCAGCCTTCATGTCAAGTGCAGTGGTATTGGCCACCAGGGGGCGACACTGCATCACAGGGCGTCTGAGGAGAGTCACTTTGTCCTCATTATAGCAGATCCTGGGATTTCTCCTGATTTCTGAAATGTTGTTCCTTTAATCAACTGAGGTAACATCAAACAAGCTATACCCATTCAAGGACGACAACTTAAAGCCCCAACCCTAAAAGTAAAGTTAGTTACTTCTACATTTCATTTATATAGTACTCATTACAGACGGAGAATCACAAATCATAAAGTCATAAAGCCATAATGATCTTAAAAAAGAAATAAATTAACATCAGAAAAACAAAGTCATATGATTAGAAAATTCCATAAAACAGACAAAAGATGATTACAAATTTGAGTTAGAAATAAGAAAATAAAAGATTTAGGTAAAAGCAGCTTTAAATAAAAGGGTGTTCAGCTGCTTTTTAAAAGTGTCCAGACTGTCAATGCTACGTAAGGATAAAAGAAGATCATCATTCCAAAGTCGGGGTGCAAGAGTCTGGAAGGAGCGATCACTTCGACTTATTTATCTGGTCTTTGGAACTTCTAGAAGGTTCTGGTGGGTGGACCTGAGGGCTCGGGTTGGAGCACAAGGCTTTAACAGTTCAGTAATATAGGAAGGAGCTTGACCATGTAGAGCCCTGAAAGTTCTAGTCAGGACTCTAAAATGAACTCTAAAGTTAACCAGTAACGGTAACCAGTGCAGAGACGTTAGAATAGGAGTGATGTGTGCTCTTCTGTTTGCTCCAGTTAGGAGCCTCGCTGCAGAGTTCTGGACCAACTGAAGGCGGTCAAGGGCTTTTTTGTTAAAACGTGAAAAGTGTGTTACAGTAATCTAGACAGGAGGTGATAAAGGCATGGATAACCATTTCAAGTTCATGTTTTGATACCAACCTTTGTGGTTTAGAGACGTTTCTTAAGTAATAAAAACAGTTTCGGACCAATGTTCAAAAGACATTGATTGATCAAAAACACCCAAATTCCTCAAGTTTGTCTTGACGGCAGAGGATAAATGACCAAGTTTTTGACTAATCAGGGGAACCATGTTCTCAGGGGCAATGACCAGACATTCAGTGTTTTCAGAGTTTAACTGAAGGAAGTTATCTTCTAGCCAGCTGTGTCATGAGTCGGGGTGAGTACTCTGCCCATCATCTCATCATCTCTGAGGTTTTTTGCCTGCAGGAGAGGGAGCGCAGCTGATCCGAATCAGACTGATCAGTGGGGCGGCTTTAAAAGGAGGAGGAATATCCTCATTCGACGCTGGATGATTATCTACTGCCTGGTAGACTCAAGCCTCTCGTAGTTTTTGAACCTCGTCTTAGCTTTGAACCTTTGAGACTTTGGAACCCGTTTTAATCTGTGCTCTTTTTCTCTCTTTGGACATTCACCGACAGACTTACCATCGTTGGATCCGTTCCCGTCTCCAAACCATAGGAATATTCACTGGTTCGCTGCCTGGATTACGACTCCACCCAGCCGCCCCGCTCTCCACCGATTACGCTCTCTCTCCTCTGCCTCATCTTCATCCACCTCGTCAGCTCAGCTCATCCACCCCGATATCACAAATCTTCTCTGGATATCACCCCGGCTCATCTCCCCTCCGCATTCATCCCGGACTTCCTCATCGTAAGTTCCGCCCACAAACAATTCCTCCGAACTACAATTCCCATTACTCACCTCTGGTCTTTCCCCTAGTTACCGCTTCCGGACTCGTCCTCCCGTTGGATCTTCAGAACACCTTCAGTTCACATCCACATTTTAATAAATTATTGTTCTTCCTTTACATCATCTCCGTGCTTGATTCTGTATGTCTTGAGTTAGACATCTTCCTCAAAACATGACAAGCTGTTGATAGCTGATAGGCACTCTAGTAATTCAGACAATTTGTAGAACTCGGAATCCTTAAAGGAGTAGTACAGCTGAATATCATCTGCATATAGGTGATAAGAGACATTATGAAAAGAATCAATTATCTGTCCAAGAGGGTGTATGTACAGTAGAAACAGCAGTGGACCCAAAATAGAGCCTTGGGGTACCCCACAAAACAGATAAGTAGAATCTGACATGATTTGGTTTCTACAGACACTGTAACTTCTGTTAGAAAGGTATGACTTAAACCAGTCTAGAACAGTTCCAGAGATCCCCACTGAGTTACAAAGTCTGTTAACTAAGGTGCTGTGATCAACAGTGTCAAAAGCTGCAGAAAGATCTAACAATGCTAAGACTGTAAACTCCCCGTTGTCTGCAAGCTTAAAATAGTCATAAACACATACCTTAAAACACCTCAAACATTTAAATTTTTTTTTGAAACTCTCAATAAACTCTGACAGGGAACAGCATTAATTAATAGACTTTTAAGCTTCAGGTGTTTTGAAGTACACATGTGTGAGAAGACTCTTATTGTAAAGGACTAAAGGAAGTAGACAACAGATGGTGCCTTGTATCGGTGAAATGACTCATTAATAATGCTCTGTGTCCTGATGGGATCAAAGACACAACAACTGTGTGTCAAAAAAGGATTTTATTTTTAGAAAATATCAACGGGACATGCAGCGGGTGTGTGACCTAAACCCTGTCATCATGAAGTGTCTCCAGGTCAGACATGAAATGTGGCAAACAGGTCCGTCGTCTGATGAGTCAAAGTCACATGGTCAGCTAGGGTCCGAGCATGTGGCAGATGAATCTATTTAGTTTCAGACTGTAATCTTTGTCATTTTGGTTTTATCTTTTATTTGGTTCTGTCTCACCGAGTGATGAATTCAGCTCTGGTTAGGTGATGTTAGCTGAAGGAATTCCCAAACAGGAAGTAGAAACACCTCTCTGCTTCATTCAACAATATAAAAAAACTACAAAATAAAAGACATAACGCCTCAGATAATATCACCGTTAGACACAGCTCCACAGACAGACGCCCCCATTAAAGACTTGTTAGCATCAGATAACAACACCTGTGTGCTCGGTGTCCATGTGGACTTAGACCCATTTGATCATGTGATTCATTAGTTAAAAAAAACCTTAAAGATAAAATTCCCTTCTGGACTCTGATATTTAATTGGAATAAATCTAAAAACTCAAGTATTTATGAAATTCAGACAAAACAAGCAGAAATGTAATTACAATGTTATACCTACTCACACACTGCTATTGCTGCACAATCAGATTTAACGAGGGTGATGATATTTAATCATGTTAAAGGTTAATAGGTCAGGTGATGTTCTGTGGATGCAGTGTGCTCCTATTCTACAGCCTGACACGATTACATAGACACCACTACTACAGCACACGCCTGGGCGGGTTCACTTGAGCTTCTTTTATTATTTCTTTAAGCTTTTTTCATGATTAGTTGCAACATTTCATCCATTTCCTTTAACCCTCCAAACAAGAAGAGGGTCACCTGCTATTTGTCGTAAGATCTCTTTTACAGCCAAGATGAGCCGAGTCAGATCTAATCGACTTTTGATTAATTTCTCTTGAAGCGACGCTCCCTTGAGCAGCCTGACAGTTAGTGTGACGAGAGAGGAACCCTGCCACGTTGGCTTTGTCTGTCTCTGCTGAGCCAAATTAACTAAAAGTCTTGTTCAGTCATTTGAGAGCCTCTCAGTGAGGAAAAGAAAGACATATCTGCATGCATTAGAATTGTAAATGAGGACAAAATGAAGATCAGCTTTAGAATAGCATCAGAGCTTTATGGACAGTCTCAGAGAAGACAGCAACAGATCAGCAGATGGGCCAACAGGACACGCTGGTAATTATGCTGCTAACTGGCTCAGTTAGCTCAAATGTGTCCTTGAGGAGAAAGAAAGTGTTTTTTTAGGGTTTTAAAGGTTGGATTTGAAGAAGAGGATAATGGACAGTTTAACTAGAGTTATAAACAAGCAGATTGAACACAAAGGGACCAATTAAATCTTAGACGAATTCACGTTTATTCAGGAAAAAGGTTGGATTAATATTTTTTATTAATCATTATGAAGCTAAAAAGAAAAGAGTGAAGAGAACATGGTGATAGTGAGTAAGTTCACTTCATTAAGCCAATCATTTAAAAGATTGCTTTATAAGAAACCCAGCAGATTGAACTTTACAGCAATTCCCATTATTTTTAGGCTAAGCTTTACTTTCGAAATACTGAACTTTGTTAATTGATAAGTATTTAACTTACATTATCTACATTTATTCTAAGTCATTAATTATTTTACACAGATCCAGACCCTAGAAATAAAACTAATGAATGGACATAAAATAATTTTTGTCATGGTCTGCATCTGCGTCTCTCCTCATGTGTCTCCTTGTGTTCTCCATCCCTCTCTAGGTTCTCCTTTTGTGTCTCTTAGCGCCCTCATGTGTCCTTGTCTGCGTCTTCCTCATGTGTTCCCAGAACTACAACCCCTCTAGTTTTTTCCTTTCCCCCCAGGTATCTCCCTCCAGGTCCTGTGCTCCCCGTGATCCTCCTTAGTCACGCCCCTGTAGTGTCTCTTTCTGTAGTGTTTTCCTTTAGTTTCAGCTGTTCATTTATTAGTCTCTTTTGGTGTGTTTCTCTTCCCAGATTGTTAGTTGTTATTTGGCTCTTCTTGTTTTTATGTTTCAGATCATGTTTATTTTCTTCCTCCTCAACTCACTGCCCTCTCCCTGATTAGTATTGAGTTCACCTGGTCTCCCTCTCCCCACACACCTGCAGTTCATCTCCCTCTTATCCTCCCAGTGTATATAACCTTGTCTGTGTCTCTGTATGTTTGTCGGTCCATTGTGATGTTTTTCTGTCAGTCTCGTCTCGCTTGTATCTCTAGTGTTTCCAGAGCTTCTTGTGCTCTAGTGTTTTTGGATCTCCCGTTCAGTTTTTGGATTTTGGCCTTTGGATTATCCCCAAATAAAGAATTTTTATTTCATCTTCCACCCCTGCCTCGTGTCATCCTGGGTTTCTGCATTTTGGGTCCTAACCTCCTCCTTGCTCGCATCGTGACAATTTCATTGTTTTTTTTTTTTTTTAAGAAGAAACAATTTATTTGTGGTACTTTTGTCTGAGTTGTAATGATTCGTTAGTTACATCTTACGTAATAACTATCAAAGGTGAGATTCCATAGAAAATATGAGATCAAGTTGATGTACCTTTGAATATGACTTTAAACAGAAGATCGGAACTTTTTATTGCAGGGATTAGGTAACACTTCGTATCAACCCAGAGTCAAGAGAGAGAGACAAGTTTAAAGTTTAAGATTTATTTCTAAACAATTTAAAACAAGGCTAACTAACTCTACACACTCTGTGTGATGAATGGATCTAGGTTGTGAATGAGGCCAGATGGATGGTGTAATGTGGAACGTTGTATCAGAACTCTTGTTTTCGGAGAAGCATTAGTTCTGTGTGGGAGCAAATGTTTTGCTTTAAACTACAGTCAAAAACCACATTCAGACGCTGTCTTGCCACTCTACATACCCTAGGTGGAGACCTCCGTTGTAGATCCAGAATGCCAGGTCCTCGGACCCCCCTTTGGTACCAGAGCCGATGAAACAGCGTACGGTACGACAGACTAGTCTTGGGATTGCCTCCAGGTACGCGACAGGTGTTTGACAGGGTCAGCGGGACCCTGAAGGGTCAGTGAGTTCAGCTTTACTCTGAACTGCGTTGCATTCAGATGTAGCTTGCAACAGGTTTTATTATCCAGCTTGTCAAGGTTCTTTGTGGTTAAAAAGTTACGAGTGGCCGGCTCACAACTCTAGAATGTTTGAACTGAGTTAAGGGTGACGTGGGAATTAGTTTTGTTATTCAGATGTTTTGATTTATGGTTGAATCAGAATTTGACAACAAAATAAACAACGCACAGACCACGCCACGCGTCAGAAAGGAAAGCTCTGATCGGAGAGACAAAAGGAATGTGTCATGTGATCTTAACATTACTTGTGATAGGAGTGTCTAGTGCTTCTGTACCAAGTTAATTCTTATACAAAACTAGGTTACAGTATTATAACATCAAGTAATTAATATTCTCATTTCACAGATTGATTGAACATTAGGCTTCACATGATTATTTGACTAACAGACGTTATTTAATTATTATTTAATAGAGTTCTTCTGGTTTCTAAGAGAGTTCTCCTTGGTCTTCTCTTGAGCTGCAGGGGGAGGCAAATAGCTAGTTAGAACAGGTTAGATGCAGAGGCATCAAAGGCCTTGAGCAATATCTCAAGGAGATCAGTTCTTCATAAGGAGAGATGGGAAATGACCTTTAGGTGGAAAACAGTCCCTTCATGATGCTACAGTGTTGAGGTTGTGAGTTTAGCAAGTTTTTGTTGTAAAAATGACATTCAAAAAATCAACACACCCAACAGAAAAATCAAAACTCCATTTAAAAGTTTCAACACTTTTTTCTGTATAAAGTTTTCAAGTGATTCAATTTAATGTGTGTAGGAAAAGGGGTTGGGGGTCTTAGCTTGTCTTGAACACAGGAAAAAGGGGTCCTTAAGGAAATAGGTGTGGGAACCACTGTTTTAGAGCAGATGAAGACTTCCGCAGGTTCAACCACAGCCAACTAAGAGTCCTTGTACAGGTCACTGCCAAAATAAAACCATCTCCTTCTGGTTGGGCACGAAGAGCTCCATGTCTGACAGTTAATTGATGTCCTGACTTTTTTTTTTTTTAAAGAAAGCCAAATCCGCATGTCTTCTCTGCGATAATCCAGTTACTATTATCACAGTTATGTCAATGAAAATGAGAAGGAAGTTCACAACTAACTTCTGGTTTCACCCCAGTTTTTGGGGTGCTGAATGATCATTTTAAAATGTGGGCTGACAGAGGCATGTTAA